TCTTCATCTGTTATGGTAACAAGGGAGGGGGATCTGGAGACGATTTCCCTTACTTTTTAAATAAATTAATTAAGAAAAATTAAATAAGAGTTTACTCTTCATCCAGAGCGCTACTTCCACAGAATGTAGGTTTGCAAGATTTAATTCGGGCCCCTATAATACCTGTTCTACTCATGTTACATTATTGAATTATAACGAATGATGTTCGTTTATGAAATTGTTACCTCTTATTTCTTCATTCGTAGATTGTAACATAGTAACATGCTTTTATAAGACATCACTTAATTGAACTGAGTTGGGTAGGAAAGATTTTGGCATAATAGAACCCGTAGGGAAGAAATAACATTGTGTTAAGCTACATTATCCCAAACATTAATTCATCTGTTATCGCATGTGCGAAAAATCATTAATTCTTACCCATCTATTTTAGCAGATGACCTATTATATTATAATTAATACTTTGTAAAAAGCCTGTATTTAATTTGTTTTTCAAAATGTTATCGAGGAACTATTAGTCTATGTAGCGTTTGTACAGTGCCGCAGATTGCAATTATAATTGTGCAAAATTACTTTCGACATTTTCATCATCTCAATCGGAACCTCTGAAAAGTCAGTGATTACAAGCTTCTGTGAGATAATCCGCAGGTTAGAGGGGGTTTGATCCCAACCCTTGAGCGACGTCGATCGGTGAGATCCGCTCTTCTTGTCACTGGATAGCTTTATCTTTAATTGTCGTCGGTATTACAAGATCCTTTCGACGTCAGGTCCCGACGTCAGGTCCCGACACTAGTTAGGATAGTAAGAATGCGCGTAATATAATTGTAGCTCAATACCCGTTGAGTGGGAAGATTCATTATTCCTTGTGGTAGGCCCTGAGCGGGAAGAGTCGGTGAGTTCGTCGATAGGCGACCGGAAATCCAAGTAAATCTGACTCGAGACCCGGATAACGATTAACAAGTGTTTAATGAACACATAGGTTAAATACAAAGGAGATAAAAGTATGTCTACGGCGATAGACTAAATTCTAAATACCAAACACTAAATACATCGCTCGCGAGACTGAGAGAGAGAGAGAGAGAGTTTACAATAACTGCATAATACCTCATGTAGACAATCAGTTGTCTTCTCGTAAAGTTGAGTCGGGGTCCGAGGTCAGCGGAGAGACCGGAGACGAGAGAGGTGATGCAGAGCTTTGGTCCACGCTCTTCTGGGAGTGTCCGCCCCGATGCTCGAGTTCGAGCCCTTTTTATTCTCTCTGAGAGTGGGAGTAAAAGCGGGTGATTTTGATTTAATGTGGTCTAAGGTCGAGATGTGTCACTGGTCAAACCGATACGGGCCGTAATAATTTTACGATTCGGCCGGGTTGATATATGGCAAACAAATTCGAGTTTCTTAGACGTCATCGATGAGGTGTTGCGACTCTTCTTACCTCATAATTTAATCAATTTTGACGTTTTCCCCATTAATAACCATTTGTTTTGATTTAGGTCCAAACTTATTCAAAACATCGTTAAAGATTGTTGATTTGTACGTTTATTTGATCATTTTTATCTCTCGGTCAGAAGGCAATTGAATGGCCAGGTGGTGGGTTTTTTTCACTTCGTAATTAATTAACTGCGTATTAATTTTTTCCCTTAATTTTACTAATTAATCGGTCCAGAATCTCACAATTCCAACAGATTTTAGTAAACTGAAAACTCCTATCTAGTCCATAAAACATTTTTGTGAATTAGGAAGTTAAGGAGGCAAGTATAAAGAATATGAAAAAAAAAAAATCAAAATTCTTTGCCTTAAGTTCATTATTAACTTTAATTCTTTGACTCCTGATTTATTCCTTACTTTGACCGTATTTTTAAAATAAATATTTTTAATAGTATTTTTCTCTTTGTAAATAGTAGAACCACTAGAAATAGATCCTGTATCCACGCCCCTATTTTTCGACTTAGAAATTCTAGATGCTCATTTTTACTTTACCGGCTTTTATGTAGGCTACAGTATAGTATATAAGAAGGTAAGTATGGAGATTTTGGACTCGGGACCTTGAAGTGCAAAAAAGTTTGAGAATTTTTCTGCATGTACAGACGTTAGTGTGTGGGGGAACACGATTTTTTCACCCTCTTTGAAGCTTAATAACTCCTGTGTATTTTGTTGAAAATTTCTGAAATTTTACAGGGAGGTTTGCTTGTTAGAGGGATTGATGCTATTAAATTTTGGTGGTTAATGGTCGAGAAGGTGGGGAGATAAAGGAGGTCGTGTGTATCTCCAGTAGGGTCGGACTTCTAAGTTCGAATTGTACGGTCAGATTTTTACATAAACTTTTAAATTTTCTGAAATCACCGATTTAAAACATGGTTTTCATTTCTGTTTTCTAATTTTCCCTTTTATTGTGTTTTTAGTGGGACATTTATTGTACGGAGGAAAACCATTTAAATATAGCGAATCACATAAAATTCGCATAATTTTGTGTTTCTTTCTTTCAAAAATTGCAATATTTTATATTTACTTTTCAATATGGTGGATGGTACGATAATGCCATTCGAAGTGACTTCACTTTTTACTATGGCGAACGATGGCAAATTTGTTATCTAGGCTTCTTAATACAGTATGTATGCGCGGGTTCGATTTCACAATGAATGGTGCGATAGCGATGCACACACATTCAATAGTCACAAAACTAGCGATATTTTTTATGTATTGGGAGGATTTTGATGCATTCAAAAATCTATATCATATTTATGGAAAAAGTACACTTCAATAATCAGTAGAGCCTCCTTTGGTCTTTAAAACCTTCCTAATGTGATCAAGCAAAGAATTAATAATAATCCTGCAATGGTGCAATGTCATTTTCTTCCACTCATCCCGTACACGTTCCCATAATTGGTGGATGCTTTCAAGCGGAACTGCACAGTCAGACAAGTGACGTTTAAGAAGGGATCAGATGTGTTCATTCGGGTTGAGATCGGGCGATTGAGGCAGAACTCAAGCAGTCTAATATTTTGATCCTAAAGCCATGACATTGCCCTCCTGGATCATTATCTTGCTGATAAATGAAAGAGCTACTATCAATGTAGTAATAATCGACAGATTGTAACAAATAATTGATAAGTAGCTCAGTGTAAATAAATAACGCTATCCATTCTATTAGGTATAGAACATATCATTCCAGGCCTAAAATAGGTAATACAGCCCCAGCTCATAAGACTATTACTACTAAATTTCAATATTGTTTGTACTTATCACTCAGTTATAAACTTCATCAATACCCATTTTCGCCCATCTGACTACACAATCCTCTTCCAATCTTCTAAGGTTCAATCTTTATAGCGTTTGGTAAAATTAAAACGTTTCTGCTTATATAATTTGGTAAGTTTTTGGGCTTCTTGGGCTTTCAAATTGTTACGTTTTAGACATCTGCGGTTACTCTAAATCATCCTCAGCAGAACAATTCAAAATATATTATTAAACACCATTTTTCTGCTGAGATTCGTTTTATTTGGCAAACGTTTTCAACCTATTGAATAGGCCGTCGTCAAGAAAGTACCGAGCCCTATTTAGGTGTTAGATACGTGAAGAAAACCCGGAAAATTCCAAGTGGCCAGCCTCATTGGTCAGGCGCGAACCTGCAATCAACTACCAATGTTCAGTGGTGTTATCCACTCGGGCACTGGTGGACCATACCCAATTGGCCAGATTGTTGAGCGGTCAAGGTGGCAGCCTACCGCTCTTGTGGACCCGGGATCCAATCCGGACGGATCAAAAATCCCCAGGAATTTTTCGGAGGTTGGCCCGTTCGGGTATGTCGGATCCTGTCCCTCACCACCTGGCCGAACCCATAACGGGATTGCTAAATGAGGCCCTCTTAGTGCCCACAGGGCGGAGAGAGTTATTCGAATAAGTGGACCATGCCTATCATGAGTTCGGCTAGGCTCGCAATGGGGGGGGATTAGCTGAGTAATAATTAGAAACGGACCGGACATATTCAGGACAGACGAATGATGATTTTTTTAATGAAAAAAGTAATGATTATCCTGCCGAATTCCACAGAACCTCCCGTTCTGTGGAATCGTTATACAAAGCTAATTATTGAAGCAGTTACTTATTTAATGACAACTATTGTCTCTTTAGGAACATTTTACATTCTCTTGGTGTATTTGGCTTATTATCAAAAGACATGGGTTCGGATCATACTCGAGGGTAATAGTATGTGAAAGTATAACTGCTATATAAACAATTTTTCTTTCTTCGAATGGGCATATTACTAACTTGTAAGATTCAATTCAGTCTTTATTCTCTTTTCGAATGAGTACTGTATATTGTTATGAAAATAGATATTAAACCCATATTCAACCCATGTGCAGCGAAAACTTCTGAAAGTTATTAAATAAGTTATTTTCGAAAGAAGAAAGGCAATTGTTATAAATAAACGTATACATAATATAGTAAAAAAATATCTAATCATAACCGGGTGTTATGCCCACATAATTTTGCTTATTTCATTTAAAATGAAATTTTCTGTCCATGTATACCACAGTTTTTGTAATTAGAGCTGAAATTACAGGATTGTTTTTCTTTATATTTTATTATATAATGATATACATAACTAAGCTAAGAGAACTTATTTATAACTTTACTTAGGATTCACCTGTTAATGTTTTAAATCTCTTATCATTTATTAAAAGATATAAAAACACAAAGAATTTCCATTGTTTTGGAAATAAGTTGATTATTGGAATAATAAATGTACAATTTGGTGAAAATGTATTTAAATTACATTATTTAATTATACAGTCTACTAACTCTAATACCAAGACTAATTCAGATATAAATAATTATGATAATAATCTAAATATATTATCATAATTATTTATATTAATATAAATAATTATGATAATAATCTAAATATATTATCATAATTATTTATATTAATATAAATAATTATGATAATAATCTAAATATATTATCATAATTATTTATATTAATATAAATAATTATGATAATAAAACAATAAATAATTACATTTAGATACATATATATATATAAAACAAAATCATTCAAATATACAATATAATTTGAAGTTTTTTTTATATGTAAAAACACAGATGGTCTGATATTCTCCTTATAATTATGCATCATAATACTTTGCGAGTTAAATAATCAGTCAGTATTTTAGGTAGAGGAAGTGCACGAATTTTTGCAGCATTATCATCGTAATAATGTAAATGCTTCTGTATTGCTTCACGACAAAGTTGTTTAAGACATTCCGGCTGAGAGGCAATATACCAATTGTAAAAATCAATATCCATCGGATTATTGGCTGTAATTATCTGATGTAATCTGAGCCATGAAGCTAGATTCAACGAATCGCATCCATTCATAATTAAAACCTGAAATATAAAATTATTTGTCTTATTATAAAAGAAATTTAAAATATAGTGAACAACTTAGAAAAATTATACAGGGCATTATCAAAAAGGTTTTTAAGATAAACAAAACAGGATGTGATAGAGGAGTTTATATACAGTAAATACAGTATAGTGGTGTTTCCCAAACTCTTCCTATGACAGAACACTTCACAAATCCTGAAATTTTAACATAAAACCTTGACTATTTTGTTCAATATACTATGTAAAGTATATATAAATAATAAATAAAGTAAATGAGCAAATATAAGCATTAAGAAAATAACAAACATTTAGTATTTAGTAAAATTACATTCTTGTCTTTGAATTACAAATTCTCTCGATATCAGGCTCCATATTAGAAAGTGATATTCTCGTTCGGGTATTATTCTGTTAAATTTATTCCAAAATCATTTAACATCAGTTTCTCTTATTTTTGTTTTAAATCAGAGTCACTATTAACTAGGGTTTCATAATCTCTTGTTCCAAAGCCTGCTGGCTTAGCTATTGCTGTAAATGGATTATTCCAAACCCAGGAATTGTCCTCACTGGGTTTTTGAAAATATTGCAAAAGTTTGATTGTAAGTCATGCAAGTATTATAAAATTATGTTAGAAACTTCTTCATCCATGTGGTGTGAAAAACAGTATTATTTGATAATTGTCTGCATCTATTTTTTTAGAAGCATGCATGATACAGTCTTTCACACAAGGCTTGCCTCTCTTCGTGTTAAAGTTCCTAACCTTAACCAAGAATCCATTGTAATTTTGAATAATATTTAAATTCTAATATTTGTCAGAGGTATAATAGAAACAAACAATTGTTTTATAAGGGTAGCTTTAATATAAAAAATAATAAAATAAGAAATTTTAAATAATATAAAAGCAATTATAATAAGAATGATTGCAAAAATTAGAACATTTTTTCTTCTTCAAACTGTTTAAGTTCATATTAATTTTGATAATTTTTTGTGGAAGACTTATTCACTTTCCACAGAACAGTTTGGGAAATACTGGTGTATAGAAAGTTTTCTTATATTGCTATAGTTTAGTAAAGACAACCTTTAAAAGTTATGTGATCATTTTAATTATTAATACAATTGAACAATAAGTTATACCTTGTATAAATTAAAGTACTTTCAGTCTTGTTATCAAAATAGAGACAATATCAAAACGAGCTGCCTGACAATGTTCGATAATTAATGGAACAGAGGTTCAAAATGCTCTACTTTCTCATGCAAGCATTTCTCAGCAGGCTGACAAACTGAATGTTAAATGCTGCTCAGTAACCAACACTTTTGTACTTTTGCTACAACAGCATGAATTCTTTGTACAAGTCGATCCTTGTTTCTATCTCAAAACTGTACTATATTTCCTTCAGGCATTCCCAAATAAAAACTCAATGGTGTCAAATTAAAAGAATAAACTTTATTTTCAGAAATGGTATCAAATTCAGAAAAACACTGTTTTTGTTCTATATAACATCCTATATTATCTAGCCTACAGACCTTACCTTTTGAAACACCTTGTAAACATAACTAAATGGTAAACTATAACATAAAAAAAATATTTTTGTTATTAAAGCTCAAAAAATAAACAAGAAAATTAAAATTCATACATATAATCCTTTGAAAACTGCTTCTTAATTTTATTTTCACTATGTGAATGCATTGAAAATTATTATGGAATTCACTCCACTGCTTTCAAACACATATTATTTGAGAAGCATTATTTTATGATTGCAGAGTATAAACAATTACAATTTTTTTCCTTTGTCTTGTTTATAATACTAATAGGCAAGAATTGGATTTATTGAAAGGACACAAATATCTGCAATATATCTTTTTTCTTTAATAGCGAGGTTGCAGCTGAAGTTATCATCTCTAAAATGTGAATGTCAAACGTCGAGTGCCACTTATAAGATAGTGGTGCTTGATGTTCATGTTTTAGAGATAAAAACTTTGGCCGCAACCTTGCCAGTAACTTTGTTTTTCCTTCAGATAATAAACAAAAAATATTAAAAGATAAGTGTATGATTATAAGCTTTTATCAAGATGAGAATCAAAGCCTCATTTAGCTAAATACATGGATATCCATGAAAATCAAAAATAACAATGAATGAACTTATATTAATCAAAGAGAGAGAGATTCTTTATCTAATACTGCATAGATGTCCTAAATTAGTGATATTCAACTAATTTGTAGCAAGGTCCAAATATAGAAATGGCAGGCATATTGTTGGTTTAAATCATGGGTGTCCAACCCGCGCGGCCTGCGGGTCGCACGCGGCTCTAGGCAAGTTCCAATGCGGCCCAATAAACATGCAAACAAAACCGACAAATGTTTTAATTTTATTATTTATTTATTTCAATGGCATAAACTCAAAAAAAAAGTTTCACAAAACCGTAAACCTTTATTCTTATTTTATTTTTGAGTGGAAAGGTAGTATTTTCAAATACTTGGAGATGTGTGAATGAGGAAGGATTACTAAATAAAACTGGAGTTGTGACTCAAAGGATTATAGACCCAAATTTGGGAAAAGGAGGGAAACATGAGAAAGAACAAAAGATACAAAGTATAGAGAAAGGTTAAATAGTTCTTCTGTTATGCAAATATTGACTCTTAATTTTCCAACCTTTCTCACTTCTTTATCTTTTGTCCTTTCTCTCCTTTGCCCCTCATTTCGGTCTATAATCCTTTGAATCACAACTCCAGTTTTATTTACTATTTCTTCTGATGTTGCAAGATTTGGCTACATTGTGCCAAATGTGGCTACTTTTTTTTGTTTGATGTAAAAAATATCATTTGGCACTTTGGCTACTTTTTGGGCTACATATTATATTACTTGAATAAAAATGCACTTTAAAATGGTGTTTTGTCACTTTTTTATTAGAGACCCAAATAAAACAAATATTTGTATTTTCCAAATAAATTTTCGTTTGTCTCCTTTATAATAAATGAATTTATTTATTTCTAAGTAAAAATTGAAAGTTTCTATAGAAGTAATTTTTTAAAATATCCTTTTTCGTGATAAAGTTTTAATATTTATTATTATAATCTAGACATGTTAATCCTTAAATATACTTGTATATTGGGCCACAAGTATTATTATATAAATTTGTGGCTCAAAACTCCTTGACTTCTTCCAATGCGGCCCAGAGAAACAAAAAGGCTGGACAACCCTGGTTTAAATCATATACTTGACTCCTTCCTCTCTCATCAGTTTAATAGTTATCAGTTGCACTGCTGTCTCTATACAGAGAACATAACATATGGTACCCTTACTTTGTATATTTATTTATTAAGTCAAGCTAGTCTTTACAATTAGAGAAAGGAAGTGACAGTTTTCTCATTAACTATTACTGTGAAATAAAGTGCATCTGATACAATTCATATGGGAGAAAGCCAAATGAAAAAATAGGACAGTTTAGAAACTTGCAATTGGCTACATATTTGGATTGCAGTTTGACAGTTGAATAGGGCAGTCTTAACATCTACATTATTTAGACTATACTTTCATTGAAATAATCTAGCTAATTTCCTATCATTAAATTTAAATACCCATGCATAAACTAATATGTACATTTTGTAAAATCTGATTTTATATATGTTATGTACACATTGTAGTACTGGCACTGAAAGAAACAAATAAAGGACAGAAATACTATCTTAAAATATATCAACTAGTTGGAAGAGACAACATATCTAATGCCTAAAAACAAAATGAATTAGTTTGTATATTTTGTATTTTTTATGGTTTTTGTTCAATTATTTAAATACTACAGTGTAAAGAACCAAGTCCGAGCATTATTTTTAGTTATTTTTTATTTTGCTTTTTATTCTATTTTTGTTTGGGGCTTATGTTTTGTTAGGACGAAAGTTTCCTCGCCACTCACCTTAGAAACTTAAAAATAAAAGAAAGAGAACCAACTCGCCGACGAAAAAAAAACACCACAGAAAAAACTTGCGCTCCCGAGTGGAAAAAGTAAGTCCGCACCAAGAAAGAAGGGGGAGACCCCACAAACACAACTTAAGAACTTGCTAAACTTTAACGAAGAAAACACATCCCGAAAAGTGTCAAAAAGAATAATGTAAAAGGTTAGCGAGTATTCTTGGGAAATAGGCTTCCAGGCAGAAAGGAAAAGTTAACTGTTAGCAATAAGTATGTAAATGAGGGGAGTGATCTCACTCAGAATTGTGATGTCACCTCATAGTATAAAGTCTGAACCTCAAATGAAGATGACCGAGGTGAGCTTCTGTTAGCAACAAGCGTGGTGAGCTTCATAGCAGCAAATGACAAGAAGTGTCCGATAGCGATAAAGTAGTTCCAAGGTGATTTTGAAGTTATTTGATTTGTGGATCGAAGATTAGAGAAAGTCTTGAGAGTTGAGAAAAAAGGTTCCTAGTATACTGAGGTGACGATTAGGACCTTAGTTCATAAGAATTGTTGTACATAAGTTAAGTCTTTGAATTTTTTGTTGAGTTCCAAAGGGGAATAGATTTAAGTTAGCAAATACATTGATTTGAGTTTTGTCGGGTTGATTCTTATTGATTTTTTTTCTTTCAATAAATTTGTTGTTGTTTGTTACTAATTTTTGTACATAGTTGTTATTAGAATTATTAAATATTGAATTTGATTTTGACTAACTTTGTCATTATTTAATTCAGTGCACGCTTAAAGTCCAGGCCTGGCACATTAATGTGAATCCGCGTAAAGTACCCGTTAGGTAACGGCTATTTCCGGCACAAAGTCATGTCGCTAATCATTGTAAAAGGCATAAAAATAACTTAGTACTTTACAACAGTAAATGTTTCATATTTCCACACATATGTAACTATTTGTAGGTAAATACATAAATTGCTGAAAGTATTTTGTTTTTTAATTCTATTAAATTAAAGACTATACAGGTATACCTCACCTTACGTCGGTAATTGGTTCCAGGAAAGACAACTTAAGTCAAATTTACTTGTCTCTACGAATTCACTTGTCACTAGACTAAACTACAAATAACCATTCCCAGCTCTATATTTTATTTATAAATGCATTTTTAATAATATATTATTAATAAGAATCTATTTTAAGCTTATAAACAAATAAATTTTAGTACATGTTTACAATTTGGCGATGTTTGTTTACAGTACATCGTGGACTCTATTTGTGAATGTGGTTTGCTCTAAGATATTATAAAATAAAATGATTTTGTAAGGTTAAATAACAAATACAGTTATTAAAATTATTTTGCAATAGTGGAAAAAACTAATTTATGTTAAATTTACCAATATTTACATTCAATTTGTTTATTTACATCATGCACTTAGATGGCTGTGAATCATCAGCATCAACAGCTGATTCTGATATTTCTATTCTGATTCTGAGTATTTTAATATGATTTTATATACTTTTAATCTTATTTATTGTACAGTAACATGATTTTATGTGCTTTTAACGCTTTTCTAGTGATATTACGACTTCAATATTTGTGACGGACAGAAGTAAAGTCGAATAAAATGACTTAAACTTGATTTTTATTTTTCCATATATTTTTTTTTTGACAAACGATGTGTAATCAAGAACGACTTAATGCAAAACGACGTAACTGAGGTATACCTGTATTCTAAAATTTACAATAAGAGTAATTAAATTTGAAAAATATGTTTTGCAATATATTGTAAAAAATTAGTAACCTTAATAGCAGGTAAATGTTGTTGAAATACTTCTCTTCTGCGATGTAGAACATTTATAGCACGAATGCAACAATGGAGTGGTGTCTTCCATTTTAAGTCAACATTGTCAATCTCAGAATTTGCCTGGATAAAATAAATAATGAAGTTTATTTAAAAATTTGTTTTCCAATTTTAAATACTGCTTAATAGTAATCTAATTTAATTAAAATTAGATTGTCTATAATTTTTAAATCTAATTGTTACCTAATAGTTTATATATAACAATATTTGATATTTTTATACTATTATTATTTTAGTTTCTTCCACCTTGTAAGCTCCAAGAAGGCTTTTAAAAAAAAAGTCCATCATGGGTAGAATGGGTCCAAAATAAAGATAACTGTGCATTGAGGATATGACCTGACATTATCCATGTAAAACCATTCATGAAAATTTCTGAGGATTCAATCAATAATACTGTTTTGATATCTAAGGGTAATGGGAGGCTTGCATAGTATATTCAAAGTCATGCCATGCATAAAGATATTGGATGTTAGTCTCTTATGCACTTACATGAGGTTTAATGTTCAAATAGACAATCTCAGCCTCTGTTGCCTTAGGATACCAAAATTTCAATATTGTTGAAATTAGTTAAAACTAGACCACTTGATCCCAGGTCACTGTGGAAGATTGTTCACTTTACCACTCTAGCTATCCAAGTTTCAAATGAAAGACTGCTATTTTATCTTTAAAGTTGATCATTTCTAAAATAATTTAATTTTCAATGTAAATTTAGTGTTAGGAGGAGAAATATTGTATAGCAGTGTAAGAGTCTATTAATGTGGACTAATATTCTCATACCATTAGAGATGATTGAACTTTTCAAAATAAAACACAACTACAAATTTATATGTTCTGTTTTAAATATTACTGTATTACGTTAGAAATACTCTCCCTGAACAAAAGTATGGAATATTTTGTAATTGCTGCAGAAAAATTATCAGAAAAATATTATTGAACTTTCAATAATTGGTAAATATAATAGACACAAAGTATTTACACACCAAAGTTCATAAAGATATTTGCATAAATTACAAAATTACAGCATTTTAAACAAAGTTAGAGTTGAATAAAAGTATGGAATAATGATGATTAATATTTTGTAAAGCCACCTTTTGCCCTAATTACACCCTTAATTCTTTGTGGCATTGTAGAAATAAGTTTTTTACACAGTTCTCGTTCAACTTGTGACCATGATTCTTTGACTGTCTTCTTTAATTCTTGTAGCTCTTTTTTTAGAGATTATTTTATTCAGAACATTCCAAACATTTTCAATGGGAGATATATCTGGACTGTTGGTAGGTCATTCTAAATACTGTATGTTGTGTTCTTGAAACCATTGCTTAATTTGTCTAGCCCTATGGCACAAGGCACTGTCATCCTGGTAAATAATATTTTAATGACCAATGATTCTAATAATTAATTTTTTTATTTCTATATTACTTATGAATTAGTGGTCACATAAGGTGAGAATTTTATTGAATTCATATTAAAAAAATTTTTATCTGTTCAACTCAACTCCCCAAGAGTAAATCCTGAGCACCTGAACAAAACAATTACATAAAGTACTTAAAATTAAGAAATTTATTTTTACCTTAATAAGAACTTCTGTTATATCTCCTAAACCCCAAAATGCTGCATAATGGAGGGCTATTTTTCCAAATCTATTTGGTTCATTTACTCTAGCATTAGCACGAATTAATACCTTTACAGTTTCAGTACTATTATGAACAGGAGAGTTCTGAACACAAATATGCAGAGGTGTATTGAAGTTATGATCTCTCATATGAATATCAGCACCTACAGTAAAAGAGCAAAAAATTTCAATATCATAATTTGAAAATTAAAAACATTATTATTGTGTCAGAGTATTTAATATAGTCACGTAAATGGATAGATACATATTTTATTTATTTATTGACCTTTTAAATTTTATACTGTAACTAATCTATACATACAGTTTTTCAATCAGAAACAAACTTTAAATTTTAAAAATAACTTTAAAACTTGTAATTTGTTTTGTGTAAGAGCAGCTAAACAGGAATTATATATAAATTGTTACAAATCATTACACTCAGTAAAGGATATGTAAACCTAACAATGACACTCTCTAGACTCACTAAATCTCCCTCACAGATTATAAGATATCAAGAAGTTCTCACCTCTGAGTATTTCACAATGTACAATATTTAACATGCAAAGAACTCACTGAATGTACCTTGATTTCAGTCACTTTCTCCTCCTTCCTTTTCCACAGTTAGGGAGCTGTCTCTGAGGTAATGTTCTAAGAAGAGCCTAATCCTTTCAATATATATATATATATATCCTAGTTGTATACAATACTTGGGATAAAGAGTTTCTTTCTTCCTGTTCCTGCATGTGCTCTCACTTTGATCATTAGTCCTCCTTGAACAATCTCCTAAGCCTGCTCAAGAGTTAGGTCTGAAGAAAAGAAGCAAGAAGTCCGAAAAAAGAAAAGATTGCTGCCATACTGTTTCTCTCGTTTATACATCTTTGCAATCATCATATTTTCTTTTCTACCAATACCATTGGTAGAAAAAGAAAAGATGACGATGCCATTGTTCAGGATGTGCCCTAAACAATGTCACAGTCGAACTTACTCAGACACGCACCTGACAGGATAGGACCATTATTGCCTCCAGCAATAAGTATGCAAAAGGTGTTAAAAATCCACAGGGTGAGAACAACAAAAATATGGAATGGAAGTGCCACAAAGTTTTCTCCTGAGAAAAACATAGTTTAAAGAGAGGAATTATTGTATTATTGGTTCATTTATATCTATAAATGAACCATGGTATGTAATGAATGATATTATATACCTATAAAATGGTATTGTTGTAATGAATGTATCAAATAATATTTTGAAAAATAATTAGTCTTTATACCTTTTTAAACTATTTAAAAATTTAGAGAATAACACAATAATTTGAAAAAAAAAAAAAAATGGAAAAGAAAATTTTGAATTGATTTATCTGTTGAATTGAAATCTGTTGTTCATAAAATTGGAAAATTAAATACTAAAAATATAGCTGTAAATATTAAAATAAATTCCATCACAATATTAATTTACACTTATTTTTATCTTTATCAAGCAAGTTTTTCATATTGTATCAAACATTTCATTTTTAAACATAAGTTTTACCAGATGATATCTAAATCCAAGATAAATGCAAAACCATTTTAACAAGGTTTTGACATTATGACGTAATGACATATAGTTCCAAATAAACTGACATCACAATAATGCTACATCAACTGCCATATAACGACAATAATAATATCGTCAATATATAACCCAATATTATACAGCAATTGATGTAGCATTTTTGTAATATATTGGCTTTCATAAGATGTTTATATCAATATATAGATATTCAAGAACAATTTATTATCATAGCATGGTGCCTTTCTAATAAAATTTTAAATTATTTGAAAACAGTTTTTTTATATTTCATAAAGCAAACAAAACTTTAACATATTTGATAAATTTTTTAAATCTGAGCCTCAAGAATCTATTATATATCTGTATTAGTAATAAAATAAAGTGACATAACTGCAGAAAGAATAACAAATATAGCATATGCTATAACTATAACAATATTTGAGATTATACAAGAAAAAAATTTTAAATAATGCTTTAAAATGAAAAAATATACAAGAACATGTCAAGAGGTATTGAAAGAATTTGGAATTAATTGAAGCAGATTATAAGAGTTTTTAAGTAAACAAATCAAGATTTAAAACCAAAATATTAATATTTATATAATTAATCATACAAAAGTATTATAAATCATTTATATGCTTATAAGTAAAAAATAATAATTTCATTCAAATATTATTAAATAAAATAATGATGTTTTTCGAAGCTTATAACAATATTTTCTTGAGGACGAGTTCTCACATCCAAAAAATCTTTAAGATTTTAAAGCAAATTATTATTATTAAGCTGCAATTTGAAAAACTGTAGACCTATAAATTCCCACTGTTGTCCATCTGTCTTTCCTCAATCTCATGAACAGAGTTAGATAGATGAAAGACGAGACCAAATATGGAAACCTTAGGGATAGGAGGCCCTGATTAATTATATATGAACTTCCAATGCAAACCGGGAGTCATATGATTTCAATTCAATAATTTTCCCCTGAAAGGTATTAGATGACTGGCACAAATCTATTGTTAAAGGATAAGTATGGTGTACAGGGACAAGCACTACTAATGAGGTGGAGAGCATATTTTTAATTTATTTGTGCATTGTGACGATGTCACAATAAATAATTGGTTATTATAATTATGCTGCAAATGTCATGTTCTGCTGATACTGGTGCCAAATGTTGTGCTGGACTAAAGTCAAAGCATTGTTAATTGCTTACTCAAACAAATGTAACATTAAGCTGTTATTAGTATGTGTGTCAACATCTGGAAACTTCCTGACAACGTGACATGTGTTCAATATTGCAGCTTTCTTTAATGCAATGTATAGGGACCATGAATAAGTTCTCGCTGTTTTCCAACAGATGGCATTACCAGAACTGTGTGCGTGTATTTTTAGATGGTGACACATCTGTCTCTTCTCTTCTTGGTGCCATATCAGATTCCTGACGTCGGCGACACCTGGCGTAGGTTTGTAATCCGCCAAGGTGTATACTAGGGAAAGTTACTACCCAGAGTGGTTTCCCGTTGCCTTCTCTGGGGCGCGATGTTACGCGAGGGGAACACATCTGTAAGGAAGTACAATTAGCGACCTTGAAATTCAGTATATGTCATTTCGCCAAAGTGTAAACAACTTCTTTTTTCATAGTGTTAAATATGTCAAGTTTTGTGCCAAAAAAAAAAAAGTATTTGCAGGGAATTTTATTGCACTATTTTATTAAAAAAAAAAAAAAAAATCTGCAGCTGAAGCACACAGAATTCTTGTTGAGACTTACGGTGACCATGCTCTGTAGGAAACAACAAGCAGAGATTGGTTTAGACGCTTCAAAAATAATGATTTTGATATTGAAGATAAAGAACGATCTGGCGCGCCAAAAAGGTTTGAAGATGAGGAATTGGAGGCATTACTTCATGAAGACTTGTATCAGATGCTAGTTGAACTTGCAGAATCATTAGGAGTTGATCACACAACAGTTTTGAAACGTTTGAAAGGATTAGGAATGATTCAAAAGCAAGGACATTGGGTGCCATACGAATTGAAGCCGAGAGACGTCGAACAGCGTCTTTTCATGTGTGAACAGCTGCTTCAATGGCAGAAAAGGAAAGGTTTTCTGCATTGTTTTGTGACAGGCGATGAAAAATGGATACACTATGATAACCCTAAGCGTAGAAAATCGTGGGGTAAGCCCACTATGCATCAACGTCGTCAGCAAAGCCGAATATCCATGGTTCAAACCTTCTTCTCTGTATTTGGTGGGATCAGCTAGATGTAGTTTATTATGAGCTACTCAAACCAAACGAAACCATCATGGGGAATCGCTATTGACTACAATTGATGCATTTGAGCCAAGCATTGAAGGAAAAACAGCTGCTATACGAGCAGAGACACAACAAAGTGATTTTGCAACACGACAATGCTCGGCCACATGTTGCACAACTGGTGAAAACCTATTTGGAAACGCTTAAATGGGAAGTCCTACTCCACCTGCCGTTTCCCTTTCTGATTATCACTTGTTCCGATTGATGGCACATGGCCTGGCTGAGCAGCACTTCCATTCTTATGAAGATGCCAAAAAATGGGTTGATTCTTGGATAACCTCAAAAGACATGTAATTTTTCCGATGTGGAATTCAAATGCTGCCAGAACGATGGGAGAAAGTAGTGGCTAGAGATGGACAATACTTTCAGTGACACGTTTTTTATAACTTTTTAAAATAAAGTATTAATTTTCATGAAAAAACAGCAAGAACTTATTCAAGGTCCCTATATATATTTTTATTAAGGTTTAATGTTTCTAGACTTTTGCTAGACTAGACTAGACTGTGCTATAACAACAGTAGAAGAGAGGACAACAGATATAATAAATACCTTATCCATCCTCCATATCTGTCTTATTTCTTGGGTGAGTGGAGTGTACTTGTTTATTTTTTCAGTGTGTGCAATTTTAATGCTTCATATCGAAAGCTTTATTTTGGTTTTGAACATTTCTGAAATAACATTAACTACTACGAAAAATCCTGGCAGTAAATTATCTTCATTTTAACTATAATACTTTTGAAAATCTGTAATAAACTTTAAATAAAACATTTAACATTTTAAGCACATTCATTTATAATTTTGCTTTTACATTTTTATATTTATGAGGATTTGAATATTCAAATATAATATAATATTGTGTGATTTTAAAGTCACTAGACAACTTGCCTGTGACACATTGGAGCAGATGCACTGTACTGTACATGTTGTTCATGTGTGTTTTGCCTGGTGCCGTATTTGTGATGTCTCCATTCCATTTTAAGCTTTTAACCTCACTTGATACATGACAAAGTAACCAAACATTAAATGGGAGAAAGCATAAACTTTGGTTTATCTAAGAGATATGGTATAAGTAGAATAAAACAAATTCAATAATTACAAAAAAAAAAATTACCATACAGTATTTAGAAGTGATGCTATGCAATGATCAATAAAACTATCATATAACATACACTTTTACTCAGTACAACGATACAATGACCAAGTATTATAGTTTGTTTTAATATACTTAAAGCTCAAGTTTAGCAAGTGGATGGGTTGATCCAAAGATTTTGGTAAAGAGTTCTTCACAACTTACTTTTCCTAGCAAGAGAAATTTAAGTGATTTGTATGCTTTTGTGTAGTTAAGAGTTAAAAATTGGGTAATTAAGACAAGATTTTGCCATATTCTATTTTTAGCCATGAACTACAGTCCTCTAAGAACAAATTTGAGTCATCTTTGTATGTATCAACTTCACTATATTATATTAAAATTTTACTTCTGCACCAGTCAGCATCTTGAATAGTAAGAGTTGTTAAATAACCTAGTAAAAAAGTCCAGCAACAAGTTGTGTAACTTTCCCGGATGTTATGAGTTCTTTAATTAAAAAATAAATTTTATACTATTAAACATAAATAAATTTGTGTGTAGCATCATTATTAATGAGATTTTGTTTTATAATAACTAAAAATATAACTTTTTTTATAACAGCAAAAGGCTTAATTTTGAAAGTAAAAATGAATTTTATAAAAAATTATAAATCTTAATAAGAAATAAAATTGTCATTAAGTCTGAACTTGAGATGTGATCCACAATCACCTTGATTTTTAACTATCAAAATTTAATAGCATTGATCCTTCTAATAAGCAAACCTCCAAGTCCAAAAAAATGTAAAAATGTTCCCATAGTTTTCCTCTGTTATATATAACATGTTCTGGAAGAGTAAAATGCATGTTTTGCCATCTTCTACAGATGATAAATGTTCAGACTCAAGCCAAATTATATACATCTCCATGAACAGCATGGTACAAATATGGCACAGGTGGCAGAGCAATGACAATTTGGTCACATGAGATGATGTTCATGTACGTTCTCTATTAATAAAAACAAACAATCAGACAAACCTATGCCTAACTTTATTCTTCAAAAACCTTTTCCATACATTATCACAATAGTCTCATGTGATGTGTGTCACTGTTGTGTCATCACTCTTCTCTTCTAACCAGGAACAAAAGTCAAAAATGTTCAATTGGCTCCAATACAAAAAAGGAACAATTACCAATAACTAATTAGATAACACTAAGAAAAAATAAGACAATAAGGTTTGAGTTAAACATAGACAGAGAGAGAAAAATAGTTATAAAAGAAAACAAAAAATGTAATTGATGAGTGAAGCAGTGTTGTATCAGTCAAGGTCTTTTTGTTAGTGTAAAATAAGATAGAAGTATCCAAGTGATTTCCTCAGTATCAGCCAAACTTTCAGTAGAGATCTAAAACTTTCTTTATGATCTACTTTATTGCTATACTACCAAACATTCCAACTGATTTTTATCTGATTATCTATGTAACTCATATATCACAACCACAGTTGTGACCTAATATGATACTCTTTCTCTCAGGAAACCATATACAATATTTGAATATGGTGTAAGAATTTCATATAAACTCAAGTATGCCAATTTATTATCTGTTATTTGATTAAATCAATAGACAGTATTTAACTCTGAAAACTGATTGTTATCATTATATACCAGGATCCTCATGATACTGACCTTCTGCTAAGGTATGTCATTTTATTGTAAGTTGAGGTTTGCATTTGGTCAACCATTTGGCCTCACTGTGACTTATTACATGATACAAAATAGACTCACACATTCCTATGTATTATGTACTGTACAGTACATAACATTAGAAAACAATATTATTATTTTATACCGTGCTGTTCATTGTGAAAGAAGGCACACAAAAATACAATGTACAAAAAAACAATATCTTTATTTCGTGATAAATGCAGTTCTTCGGATTACAAGTCATTTACAGTCCTCGGATTTTGAGAATTTTTACAGATTTTGTTGTTACAAAATAAAACTTGAATAAACAGTTAGGGGAACCAAAACCAAAAATATGGTTGTGACAATTATCATCAATCAGTACCTTCAGGACAGTGAATTTTAAATAATTATTTCTAAGGTCTTAATCTAATTAAAACTAAAGAAGAATGAGAGAGATACTCTTAGAAATGAATAAGAAAGAAGTTCGTAGAAAGGGGGTACCGTTTTTCTATGTAGTTCTAGGTGTGGTGACAGTCCTTGATTCCAGTGTTCTTACACGAAGAATGAATGATCTGTATCTTGCCTGTTCTGCAAGGGTCTCCTTGAGATTCTTCCTTAGACTCGATTTTCTCTCTTCACCAGAACAGGAATTATAATTGAGAAAGCATGTCCTTACCTCCAGTCAATGCTACTAACGACCTGGAGATCTACCAGTCCACGTCCTCTTGCTTGGACATCCAACCAAAAAGTGTCCTGTTCTCTTCAGCTTAGCCCTCAGGGCTTCTTCTTCTTTTCTATTGTTCTGTATGTAAGTCACCAGCACCCAATGGGAAAGAGTTAAGAAGGAACATTCCAGAAAGACGAAAGGCAAAAAAATAAAGAGGAAGAGAAGGAATAAAGAAAAATATAATATGTACAGAATATATACTAAATATGGTGTACTGCCACAATACTTTAATACATTATAGTTTTATATTTACATGTACCTATTTTGTTACAACTGTATATTTTTTTATATTTATATACATCTTACATACATGTAATTGTTTTATTCATTTTAATTTGAATTATTGTTTCTTCTGGAACATTCAAGAAGACCACTTTTTTGCTGCACGCTGTCTTGCCTGTAAATTATTTTTGAATAAATAGATAAAAATCTTACCTGCTGAAATAAGTAATTCAGACAACAATGCTCTTCCATGATAAGCAGCTTTATGAAGAGGAGTACATCCAAAACTATCTGGTTTATTGACAGATGCTCCAGCTTGTAACAGAATCTAAGAAAGTTTGAATTATCAATAATGTGCAAAATAAAAATAAACAAAAAAAAAAGCATTTTCTAACTCCTTCTGAGTTAGAAAATGTTTGTTCATTGAATCTTTGAACAGGAAAATTTAATTTCATATTGGAATGTAATTTAAATCGGCTGTGATGCTTGTAATATATGGATAAGTGGTTCACAAGGAATTGTCAAAGCATGCCTGCCATGCTTTTGAGATTGCTCTTTTTTCTTTATTGTTAATGCAATTTCCTGCTCTGTTTGCCTTGAAAATTTCAAAGATCTCTCTAATATGTTCCTCATGTGCCAATGTTTTTAACATGGAGGCTTGTTGAAAAAATAGGACAATCCTGACTTCCTACACATAAATGGAGAGGAACATGTAGAATGTTGTATTTGTGCTCCAAAAACATTTGAATAGCAATTGTTTGAAGGATCTGATCTCTTCCCAATCTATTATTCCTAAGGGGAATGGTATATATCAGGGATGGGCAAGCAAAAGTTCAGTGGGAGCCGAAATGTAGGTTTTGCATAATGCATGGGAGCCACAGTTCTGTACTTTTTTATTCTGTACCACAGTTCTGTACCTCGAGTTTATTATAGCCTATAATTGAATTTTTTTTAATAAATCTATTTTTACAAAATTGTGGAAATAAAACTGTAAAAATAATAATAAAAAGCAGAAATTAACACTTTTAGCAAAAGCTGCATGTAACTCAAAAAGAGCCACATGCGGCTCTTGGAGTCGCATTTTCCCATGTCTGGTATATATCCCAGGGACTCTATTGTTATTTAATGGATTCTTTGCATCTGTCCTAAAGGGAATGGCATATGCCTGAGTTACTGTATATGTGAGTTACATTCTCTTAGACAATAGATCATGAAGAGATCTGGGGGCCTATTCTGAGTAGTATCGTTAAGCTAATGAATACGATAAAAACCAGTTTCTATCGAAACCACGTGATTCGCATTTAATCAACTGTAAAAATGCTATTCTGAGCCCTATGTTTCATTTTTGGTTCTGATAGCCACATGCAATAACTAAGCTTTTGTTATCGATCACTCTTGAGCTGCCGTTAGGAATGTAACGAAAGTATAAACAACATGGCGTCTTTTGGTTTAAGAATGATTTTACTTCACAAGCAATTAGAGAGAGAGTTAATAAACTATGTTGTTGTATTGCTTAAAAATAATTACCTTAAGTATTTATGAATATTGTATGAATAATGTAATTGCTTTCTTGTTAAAATTTAAAGTAAGTAGTTATAGCATGAACATTATTTCTGAAATAGGTTTCATTCGCATATTTATAAATTAAAATGATAGTCATATATTTATATTCTAAGCTCTCAGTTATTTTTTGCCATCTTTCTGGGTCTTTTTGTGAGCCGACTCCATCAGAATTCAGACGGTCGGCTATTTCTTGTCACAATTTCTGGTGATCTTTTACAGTAAAGAAAGCATCTAACTTCCCTGACATTAATTTAGGATTGTCTTCTATAAAATTAACAAGCATCTCAAACTGGAGACTTGTAGTTCACTGGCTTCGTTGGCCTTTCTTTGACATTTTAAAACAAAACTATTTCACTAGTGCTGGTACGGACAATGCTAAAAGCACGTGCTTCACTTAGAAAATACTGTAGTGGGTTGCAGTCACGTGACAAAAATATAATGTTAACTAAACTGTGATTGGTTAAAGTGTAACAGCTATCGATAGCATAGAACCCAGACGCATCTTGACCGATTACCTGTAGTGAAACCCACTTAACATGGAGCACAGAATAGCAATTTGTCTAAGGTTCGTTAACTGCCTTTCGCTAAGGGTGTCGCTTTCCCGAATGTCCCGTGTATCACTCTTGTTGAGTTATCGGAAGAGCTCAGAATAGGTCCCCTGATCTATATCTGCTCCAAACAATTGAAATCCAAATTTGTTAGAGCAAAAACACTACATTCAGTACAGAAAAATCACCATTACCCTCTCCATTTATGCATTGGAAGCTAGGATCATCCCATTTTTTTCAACAAACCAACATGTTAAAAACATCAGTATTAGAGAGATGGAGGTCCTTGAAATTTTCAAGGCAAACAGAGCAATCTTTTCTTCTTTGCTGTTAATGCAATCTCAAAAGCATGGCAGACATGCTTTGACAATACCATGTGAACTGCATATTCACACATTATGTGGTATACACATGACAGTCAATTTAAAATTGTATTCAATATGAAATTAAATTTTCCTGCTTAAAGATTCAATAAACATTTTGTTATATTCAAATTTTTTGATGAAGACCTTCCCAGTAGGTCAAAAACATTAGAAAAGTGATAATTTTGACAACTGCTAAACTAATTTTGAAGTCGGTGATGATTTTACTTACTACAACTGTACTTACAAGAAAATGGATGATGACACATGGACCACAATTTATGATTGTGTATTTATGATTGTACTTTTCACAGATTAAAGTTAGAAGGAAAACAAGTGTACCATTGTATATCTCAAAGATCTAATCTCATTTCATGTATCATATAACCCCATTCCATTAAACATTTTGAAGTGAATTCAAGATAGGGCCATCCAGTTTATACATACAAAGATGTTTGCCCCTAGGAATAACATGTTTTTATCATGCTAAAATTTCCTATGGCTAATCCAGTTTGATTTTATAAGGGTGTTAAGAGACTTTTGTCTCACCTTGTATTTAAAAATATAAATATAAAATTTATTATTCTAAGTTATGATTTCTTCTTTATTAAACTTTTTTTGTTCAGAATTGTTACAATCAGTAACAATATAAAATAAGTTATCATAGAGATAAGTAGAAATACAGTACTTCTTGCACAAAAAGTTTATCCCACAAATTGTTTATTAATTAGCATCTTGCTGCACTCAGGAAAAAACTCCTTTCTCTTTCTAAAATAAAAATTATTTCATTATTGGATTTGTTATTAAATATCTCAGTTACATCATAAACCAACTGCTAAGTTATATTTGAAATTATTTAATTGAAATGTTTCTGATCAATAATTATAGTATGTATGAATGTCAATAAAATTTTTTAGACATTAAAGTATTTTTATTATTAATAATTCTAAGAATAAATATATTTGAGAAATAGAGTACAATTATATTAATATTCTTTTCATGAAGTTATTAAATTTATATTAAAGAAATTGGCAATTAATTTTTTATAAAAACATATACTGTATTTCAACTTTGATAACAGAGATATATATTAAAAGAAATATTTACAGTATATTAAAAGAAATATTTTTTATCATGTGTCAAATTCTATTATTTGACTAATGTTAATAACAGAGTACTGTAATATTAATAATGGTTTTAAAAATGATACATTTAAAAATTAAACAGGATTTGAGTTAATCAAATAATAGTTGAAAAATTATACAGAAACTGCAATGTAAATTTTATAATTTCATATAATCTTTTCTTAAAAAAAATAAAACAAAAATTTAACAGCATAGAATGAGAATCAGACTAACTGCATTAATAAATCAAGCTTCAGCTTGGGAATATATTTTGAATCAAGCTGCAAGATGTCTTGAAATTCTGGTGGTAAAACCAAAAAAACATTGAAAAATGTGCTTGGGTGCCTTTCATTCTAAGAATGACTATTTTGTTTTTGTATTAGCAAATAAAATTACAACAGAATAAATAATTTATATTTTTAATTACAGTTTGTAGTATGTAAAATATAGAATTTATGTTTAACTATTCTAATCATAGAGCTATTTTCTATCTTACTTAAAATCTATCCTGTCTATTTGATTGCTTGAATACATATCATAGGGCATAAAAATTTCAATTTTATTATAAATTAATAATGCATGAGCTTGAATCAAACATTGAAAAAAAATGTGCTGAATAATTATAAGAACATGAAATTGATAAGGTTGAATATTGTTAAAATAAAGTAATTTCATTATATGAATCAAGAATTGATCAATAACAATTACATCTATATGGAAAAGTTATGTATGTGGTAAGATTAACAAAGTATAGTTAGATTAATACTTCTCCAGTTGTTTAGAACAATAATAGATATAGATGAGTAAACATTGCAAAAAAAATAAGATAAAACAGAACTATCATATGATATATCATATGAAAATATTAAATTATTTAATGGTTCAAAAACACGTGTTCTAAATTTACCTCTTTTTATATATATACTGTATATATATTCAGTGATGACATTCGAAATATTTAACAAAGGGTTCGCTAACAGAAAATTTTTCCTTAACAATTTTTTTTTCGCTCAAATGGTACATCGGAAGGCTCTAGTTTAGTAGTGTTACAGAGTATAATACGTATATTTTAATATTTTTAAAAGAATCAAACCATTGAGAAATGTTACATGTGTTTAACAAGGTTCGGAAAACTTTGAAAATGTTAACAACGGGTTCGGCCGAACCTGTGCGAACCCGCTGAATATCACCACTGTATATATTCCATTAATATGACAATTCATGTTCTTTAATTTAAATATACAGTAAATGAGAAATATATTTACATCAAGAGATTATTCTTTGTTTGTCATTTTATGTTCATAAAAAACACCATATAAAAAGATCAAGTTGAGTCATATGAATATGACATGTTGTAAACTGAATTTTATAGTAAAAAATTCTCTTCTCTTCTTTACCTGCACTTAAATCAATCGAGAACAAAAACCCTTCAAGATGCAGTCTTTTTAATTTAAACTTCTAACATTTTTGAACTACTTTATTGACTTCCTCAGGAAAATTGAACATTGATATTTAAAACAAATGAAACTCATTCCAGAATGTTTTTTAAAAAACTTCTTTAACAGCTAATGCGCATGTCCGGTATCAATAATCATCATCATCTTATGAAAAATAATAGCTAATTAAATAACCAAATAGCTAACAAGTAATCTAATCGCTATATACACATGTGAATCCGGGTGGTTAGTCTCCCGTTCACCTGTCAAACAACCAATTGCCTCTCAAATGTCA